CTCCCAGAGTGTGCACATGAGTACCGGTTTACCGTTAGTCCCATAGTCAGACCAGTTTATTCATATATATATTGATTCCATAGTTTATTATTAATTGTGCTGAGTATTCAGTGCCGGTTCCGGCGGAGCACCGTTGATTCCTTTGTGCTCACGCCTCCCCACTATCCTATTTTTCAGGTGATGGAGTCCCGCGTGGAGCGTGAGCAGTTATGTGGTGTTTGTCCAGCTTCAGGACATTTTTGTGAAAACATGTCATATAGTATTTGAACATGTTTGAATTATCTATGTTTGTTTTATGCTTGTGTGCTTTTCTGAACTTGTACTTGCTTTCGCATGATAGACTTGTGTTTCAGATGTCAGATTTCAGACTATTATTTCAGATGTTAGATTATGTCAGATTTTTAGAATATGCATGTTTTAGCCGGTATTATTCATGGCCTTAATTCTAGAATGATTTTACCTAGTCGCATGCATGATAGATTATAGTGATAAAGATATAAGATTAAAGTTGAGTAGCATCCCGCGTTTTAAAGTTAAAGTATTTTCGAAAAAATAATACGAGTTTTCGAAAATTAAATAAGTGTTTTCCTTTTATAGCGCGAAAAATTTACTCTGATTTTAGTAAGTCTTAGGTGGGGTGTTACAGTTTTCTTATGGAGCCATCCACCACTTAATGTATTGACACCTGTCCAAATTGTATAATAAATCTTCACAACAAAGCTCAATAATAAAAGTTCAAGAAATAACAAAATAAATAAAAAGAAAAAAATTATAGGAAGAAAAAAAAGACTAGAAGATGGAGACAAATTAAATATATAGAAAATAAAACTAGGTACTTAACTCAAACACCATGTTTTAGGCTCAGGCTAGAAAAGGTCACGCCCCAATGACTCATTATGTATTTGTTAAGGCTAAGGATGTGCATAATTCGATTAAAACAGACCGAATCGACTGAACAAAATTTCGGTTCGATTTTCATCTGACTCGGTCGGTTTTCGATTTTTATTATTTAAATTGTTCCGTTATTTCGATCGGTTTCGGTTTTCGGACTTGAAATGTCCGAAATAACCGAACTGACCGAATAATATATATAATATATAATATTTTCAATCTAATCACTTAAACGTAAGCAATGCCATCCAAACAACTAAACCTACAGAAATAAGAATAGGATACATAGTCTTTCTGCCATCCAAATATCCAAGCAACTAAAGCTATAGAAATCAGAATTCGCCCCTACTCAGTGGTTCTCTCCATCGTGACCTCGTCTCTTCCCCAAATTCTCCGCCGTCCCCAAATCTTCCGCCACCGTCGTTGTCGCTGCTCCTCCGCTGTAAATCGTCCCAATCCAAATTATCCTCAAAATCGTCTTCTCCGGTTGAAGTAGTTGCGTTCGTGTGCCACTCAAAGCGCACATCTGCGACTCAAGAACTCCTATTTCGCCGGTCGTCGAGCGTCTATTTCAGTAAGTTCAAGAGGAATCTTCATCTAAGCTCGTCGATTTGTCATTTCGTCGGTCACATTTTTTATTTATTTATTTTTTTTGGTTTTTGTCGGACTTGTATTGCTGTAGTCATTGTGGATCTGTAATTGCTCTTGAATTACCTTGAGGTTAACCAATTTGAAGAAAACTATGATGATGTTTTTATTTTATTTTTGTTATATCTTATGCAAATTTTTCTTTATCAAATTTTATAATGTAAATTTTTAGGAAGGTTAAATTGGAGATTGCTTGCTTATAGATGAGGATGGCAAGTATATGCTTAGTTTTCTAGAATTTTTGGAACAAATTTATATATGTAGAGCCTGTTTATGGCTAGCTTTTGAACTTGCAAGAGTAGGCTGAAACTTACTAGTCACTTGTGTAGAGCCTCATGTCATGATGACATGGATATTCCTGAATCAAATCCAGAAGTTGGAGAAATCTGCTGGATTGTAACATACTAACTTGGAGCACCAGACATTGTTCTTAGTCGACCCTTTGGATCAGAATGATTAGCGGTTATATTTTGAAATCGACGGACTGGATCTTGTACTGAACTGGAATTGGAATAGAATAGTGAGATTGGAATTCTCTCTTCTATTGCTCTGGTGGATTTATTAGCATACTTCTATTTGGTTTGGGCAAACCTTTACGGCAACAGATTTAACCATATGTACTCAGTACTTTTATATCTTCATCTGTGAGAAGATGGTTTAAGTTAAAGTGACAGTAACATTAGCATGTGGTCACAGATTAGTAGTTGAAGTGATCATAAAAAAACATATAGGTGGAACTGAAGTGATCACAAAGCAAACATGCCCAGAAACTATTTGATAAAATGCCAAAAAGGCTAAGGAGTCATTGATCAGATTTTGTCACTTGTCATAGGTCTAAATTATTCCCCTACGATTCTCATTTTCTCCAAATGTATAACTAGTTCTACAAATTTAGATCACTAGCATATTATATTTATTTTAGCATTTCATAGAGATGACTCGTGGAGCTCCGAGAAACCAAACATGGGACAGAAAATCACTTAAGTAGCCTGGTTAGGGTACATGTGAAATAATAATTGAAGTTATAACAATAATTTAAAAGGATAAGAAAAATAGCATTAAGATTTTTTTTTTTTTTTTGTTAAATAACAATTTATTTTGGTTGCTACACATAATTTCTATACTCATTATGAGCTTAAAACTTATTTATCTCGTGTCTTGTATTTCACGGTTGAAATATTTGTTCATTATTTAGCTAAATAATACAATTCTTACGCTGCATCAGAGTTTTATTTTTTAATTTAGACCAGTTATACCTTTTCCATATATTGATTTATTTATCTTCTAATTTTTTATGTGTTTTGCTTTCTATGAAGGTCAAATAATGGTTACTGAAGGTAGTTGGATTTACTACTCACAAGCAAGTAATGAGTATGCCGAAGGAGTAGTGGATTTTCTAAATCATGCATTTTCTACTCGAGCAGAGGGAGATCAAATAAGTTGTCCTTGCAAAGATTGCTATAATCGTTTTTGGCATCGTAGAGCTGAAGTTTATACTCATCTGATTTGCAATGGCGTTGATCCAGGCATCAAAGAATGGTATTTCAGTGAAAAGGGTTCACACTCAGCCCAAAATGAAACGCGAGAAATGGCGTATGATGACATCGAAAGTTTGATATAGATACACATAAGGACCTCGTTGATAACTTTCAAGAAGGAATGGACAAAGATACCAACGCAGAGGCTAGAAAATTCTTTAAGTTGGTTGAAGATGGAAAACAAGCAGTATATCCAGGATGTAAATCCTTTTCTAAGTTATCATTCATCATTCGCCTTTACCGTTTTAAGTGCATCCACGGGCTTAGTAATATGGCTTTTTCTGAACTTCTTGGGATAATTCAAGAATTAATTCCGGAAGCTGTATTGCCTAAATCTTTTCATGAAGCTAAGAAAATGGTGAAGGATTTAGGCCTTGATTATCAGAAGATTGATGCATGTAGAAACGATTGCATGCTTTTCTGGAAAGACCATGAAAGTGCTACATCCTGCCATGTTTGTCATGAGCCTAGGTGGAAAGAAGATGACAAGCAAAATGACACTAATGAGACTAATTCTCAGCATATTCGCCATATTACTGCAAAAGTTGTTTGGAATTTCCCCCTAAAGCCTAGACTACAAAGGTTGTATATGTGTGCTGAAACGGCTGACTATATGAGGTGGCATAATGAGAAAAGAGTTAAAGATAGTAAATTACGACACCCAGCGGACGCTAAAGATTAGAATGATTTTGACTCCTTTTACCCAAGCTTTGTTGCAGATTGTCGTAATGTACGTCTAGGCCTTTCTAGCGATGGATTTAACCCATTTCGAACCATGAACACAACACATAGTACATAGCCTGTAGTTTTAATTAACTATAATCTTCCGCCATGGTTGTTTATGAAGCCGGAGTACCTTATTTTATCTTTACTCATCCCTGGGCATGTCTCCCCTGGAAATGACATTGATGTTTATCTACAACCTTTAATTTAAGAGCTAAAAGACTTATGGGAGTTTGGGGTGGCTACTTATGATGCTTCGACACATCAAACCTTTGATATGCATGTTACTTTACAAGCAACAATCAGTGACTTCCCAGGTTATGCAATGTTGTCTGGTTGGAGTACAAAAGGAAGATATGCATGTCCTAGTTTTCATTATGAAACAGATCATTTATATCTGAAGAATAGTAGAAAGTCATGTTACATGGGCCATCGAAGATTTTTGGATGAAAATCACCATTGGCATTGTGATAAGAAAAATTTCAATGGGGAGAATGAGAAAAGGAAAGCACCAGATCCTTTAACTGGGCGGAGGTCCTACATTTGTTGGAAAATTTTGAGAATAAGTTTGGTAAGAAACAATCGAGAAAAAATGTTGAAAATTGCCCCTGGAAAAAGAAATCTTGTTTCTTCAATTTGCCGTATTGGGAGCACAATGCAACTCGCCATCATCTAGATGCTATGCACATCGAGAAACATATTTGCGATAGCATTTTGGGAACTTTGTTGGAAATACCGGGGAAAACAAAGGATCATCTAAATGCTCGGTTAGATCTTAAAGAAATGGGAATAAGAAGTTCGCTACATCCTATCATATCCACGGGCAAACGCCTATTGTTGCCTAGAGCCTCATTTTCAATGACAAAGCAGGAAAAAGCTTTGTTCTGTGAAGTTATAAGTAATGCCAAACTACCACAAGGGTGTGGTTCGAATATTTCACGTTGTGTACAAATGCGCGAATTGAAAATATCAGGATACAAAAGTCACGATGCACACATTATGATGCAATATTTACTTCAAGTTGCTGTCAGAAAATGTTTACCAAAGAAGGTTGCTCTAGCTTTGATAAGATTGAGTGCCTTTTTCCGAGGCATATGTAGCAAAGTTATAGACCCATTGGACTTGGATCAGCTGCAATGTGAAATAGTTGAAACTCTTTGTATGTTTGAGAAAATTTTTCCACCATCTTTTTTTGATATCATGATGCACTTACCTATCCATTTAGTTGATGATGTTAGGTTAAGTGGACCAGTAAGTGGTTGGTGGATGTTCGGACCAGAAAGGTATCTTGGAGAACTAAAAGATTATGTTGGAAATCGGAGTCGTCCTGAAGCCTCTATAGCTGAAGGATATTTGGTAGAAGAGGGTTTAATATTTTGCGCGAGATATTTGCGTGATGGTTCAAAGAAGAAATCTAAAAACTCTAATCGAAGCTCTGTAGAAGCAACATGTAATGATATATCAGTTATTTTTCCTAAAGTGGGCCATCCTCTTGGGAGAAGAAAGAGAGGGAAGAAAGGAGCATTTTCTCTGGACTCTAGCACACAAAAATTAGCACATCGGTATGTTCTATTCAATTGCCAGGATGAGCTTGTTGAAAAATACATCAAGTAAGTTTGTCACTCATTCATTTTATTTATATTGTTCATTACTTTTAAGGAATTGTGTATGTTGTTTTGGTTTGTTAAGTGTTTGTTGTTTGACATTTATTTTAACAATTATTATTTTTTTATAAATGTAGGGAACACGAAGATATGATGAAAATGAAGTCTCAAGACAAGAGCAAAAAAAGGTGGAGGCAAGCCCAACAACATAGCCAAGAATTCATGGATTGGTTTAAAGAAAAAGTAGAGCTAGAACAATTTCCTGATCATATTAAATGGTTAGCTTCGGGACCTTCTCATGTTGCAAGGAGATACACAGGGTACTTTATTAATGAGTATAAATTCTATACTCAAGGACGTGATGCAAAATTGAAAACACAAAACAGTGGAGTTACTTTGACCGCCTTGACTTCAAGTTTCTCAAGTACTAAGGATCTCAATCCTAGTGTTGATGGGGTCACTTATTATGGAAGGATAAATGATATAATTGAGATTGACTATTGGAGTTCTTTTAGTGTTGTCTTATTCAGGTGTGAGTGGTTTCAAGAGAACACTGATTCATATGGTCTGACTTGTGTCAATTTCAACAAACTGTGTTATGAAGATGATCCTTTTGTCTTGGCATCACAAGTTCATCAAGTTTTTTATGTGAAAGATGCTACTGAAAAGGGTTGCCATTATGTGATGAAAAAATTATCAAAAGACTTCATTGATATTATGGACCAAACAGAGGACACATACTTTGCTGAGCTTACTGAATCTGTGGAGGATAGGATGGTGACTGCTCTGAATGACGATGATGAAAATAGTTGGACCCGAGAAGGTGTACCTCCCATTATTCTTGATGATCCAGTTGAAAACCAAGAGACTAATTCAGAATCATACGATACAGGTTTGGAACTAATAGATTTATGAGTATCATTGTATACAATTTTAGATTTTATTAAAGAAATTATTTCATTATTTATTTTACGAAGTAGATTGAGAAACATTGCATTTATCAGGGCATTGTTGGTGAAAGGCTAGTGAATTGAATATTTATGCTTTCTTGTCTATTAAGTGCTAAGATGAAATCAAGGAGGTCATGTATCGTGTTGCGGCCCAATTGTTTTCTCATTTTACTGGTATGGCCTTTTATTAAAGCTTTTTGTCGTATGAATAATACTAAGCTTACACGTCGTAATATCAACACTTGGTACATTCAGCCTGCAAATACACAGAAGCCACTAAGTCTTCTCCATCACATGTAGTTGACTCGAGCTGGTTTCAAGAAGCACTTAACACTTCAAACAGATACTCATCGGCTGGGACTGGGTGGGGCTTGTCTCGGGTTAATACATTCCTTAGTACTGTTGGCTGCTAATACTGTTCTGATTCTTGCACAAGGTATTTCGATCATGTTCAAGTTCTTCCATTTTTCCTACAACGGACAGATGGCACTTGCCATTTTCGGATACATTTGTGTTTTTAAAATAAATGCAGAAAGGCGTCTTTCTTCATATTGTGATTGATTTTATGAGCATTAAAAGGCGTCTTTCTTCATCAATGGCAATGTTGATTGATTGCATGACAGCTACTTCTGTCTGTGGTTTTCCCCACACTTTTTCCTCTTTACTTGATAGATATGATATGGTTCATTTGGGTAATTATTAATTCTTTTACATTAGTAATTTGGACTGAAAGTGTGTTTATTAATGGATTGTTCATCGGGATATGGACATTCCAATTTATTTGTCATGATATAATTTTTGTCTACTTCTGATTATCATATGCTTAACAGTCATACTTTCTCGAATTTTTTGCAAAATTATGAATTCCTCTATGTTATGTTGTTCTTTATATTCACGACTTGACTGGTCACATTTGGAGAAAACGCTAGTTTTATTGCTGACACAGAAGATGCCTTCATTCAATTTTTCACTTTGAATTAGTCATTTTCCACTTATCCGTTTCCTTTTATTTTTCCTTTATTTCACAATAAAGATGTTATGTATTTATTTTTTGACAAATATCCTACTTTTTGTTTTGCAGGAAGTTTGTTTGTTCTTTATATTCTCAATCTCCCTTTTATTTTCTATTTCTCAGCTGCCTGTTTGAAAAGGCGGGAACAAAAGTACCAGCAGAGACAAACAAATGTGACCAAGTTAACACCCAAATGAGGTATACAGATCTTAGAGATCCTTTTTCATGCTTAAATTTCTACCTTGATTTTTTTCCCCTTTCTAACCCGATTTAAACTTTTTTTTTTTCCGTGTTTGTGCTTGCAGCATTAAAATTTTGGTTGATTATGTTTTGCCTACTCCTATACTTGCAGGTGCGGAAGAGTAATTTTGGCGAAAAAACCGCAGACGATGTTGACATTGGCTCCAACAGCGGTGAAGTTAAGAATTTTTATGACTTCTTAAGGTTAAATTTGGCTTACCTTCAAGATTATATCTTATTGTTGTACTGTGAAAAAATCAGGCCGATGATACAACTATGCCGAACAACAGCAACGAGCACATATATTTATGTAAACATCAGGTCAAGGACTATTTTCCCTTTCATTGGGGTCGTGTCGAATGTGACAGGTGGGCTGAAGCAGTTCGAGGATGGACACGGGCCACACGGGCCACACGGCACTTACGTCTCAACATGTTCTGGTTGCTTAGATGTCAATGAGAGCTTAAAAATCTTGAAGCCCATTGGGAAGAAGCTGAAGTTCAAATTGGTCAAAAGGAAGCATCACGGCAAAAGCAAGATCAGGAAGAAGCATAATGTATAAGTCATCCACGACTATGAATTTTTTTTTCCTTCTTTTTTTTCAACATTAGCTGCATTATCTAGGTGTAGTGTGGGGAACTATGTGGAATTCTTGAAATTTTGGGATGCTAGTACAAAGAGAAATGACATACAGTACTATTGAACTTGGGAATTACTATTGAACTTGGGAATTTAGTCTCCGAGTTAATGTTATAATTATTGCAGTTTATGTTACTGCAGTTTTGAGCGGGTTCTCTTACCTTAGAAGGGGTGTTGTATTATGGAAAGTTTGCCCTCCATGTACATTTTATTGAGCAATATATATCCTACAGTTTCGAAAAAAAAAATGTTATAATTATTATATCTTTATGGTTTTTTCTTCAAGTATATATAGATTAGATATATAAGAGCAAAAGTAGAAACATTATAATACTTCAAAGTAATATACATTATCGTTGTGGATATCCAAAACTTTGATTTAGCCTATGTTTAATTGTTTTACGAGAGAATACAATTTTATAACTAATTCCTTCATGACAACATATCATGAATAATATTATAAAGAAAAATCCCCCTGAAATCCTGATTAATCACTATGCACTATACAGGCCTTATGTTGTTGCTGCTTGTCTCAAATATTTATTTCATTTAATTTCTTCATACTACACTGAAATTCAATAACGACACGATTACTTGCGTTTCACCCAATCTATCTATCTATCTATCTATCTATCTATCTATATATATATATATTTAACCATTTATCAAAAATAGTAGCAAAACAATAGGCTAGAATTTAATGCAACCTTATATATATATATATATATATATATATATATATATATATATAAGGTTAATTCACTTTAGAAAACATTTCCCGTAAAAAACATTAGTTACTTATTATAGAAAAAAATAATATAATATTATTTAAATAATATATGAATAATCATTTGTATAGTTTCAATATAACTCGACTTTCAGATTTTGTTTATTTTTAGTCAATTGCAGATTTCCTTTAATTACGTTCATAGTTGTTTTGTAGGTAAAGATTTTAAACATACATGTTTAATGTTCTTTTATACAAGATAAAAAAAACTATAAAAATAATAATAAATATTATTTAGTTAATCAAGTATAATCGATATTAAAATGATAAACTAACAACTCATTTGTCGAATTGCCAAGTAAATTATCATATTATAAATAGATCATTCTTATTTTAGGGTTCCGTTTAAATTCCAACGATACCAGTTCTTACTTATAGTTTTTTATGTCGTCACGACGTCGTTAGCCTTTATCATACGTTGAGATGTTCTTAAAGAAATAGATTTTGAGTTACGCCAACTATTATTTAAAATTTTTGGCTAAGATATATTATGTGTGCATGTTTTTATTTCTATTTTTTTTTCTTAGAAACAACGAACAACATTAAAATCTAGGTCTCTATGTTTATGAAATCCTACTTCCCAAGGTAATGAAAGTTTTAGAATATGGGTCTCTATATTTGTGACTTTTAAAAAAATATATTGAACGCTAAAAGTATTCTTTAAATATCATTTCCACAAATTATGACAATTTATTTATTTGGAACGTGTGATAATAAACTTATTAATGTTCATCAGTTATTTGTTTACCAAACTATTGTTTTTATTTAAACTTGGTTTCAAAAGGTAAAAATAATTCCAAAATCTCAGTCTCAATATTTTTGCATTTAAAAAAAAAGTTTAATGATATGTATTATTTGTTTATAGTACACGATTTAAAACTCCATTATAAATGTATGTTGATATCCAAATTATTTTATAATCGCAACCGACTTTGTTAAATTTCCAAGAAAATATGGTAAAATAAAATGAGACAAGCAACTTTGTATGGAAATAAAATAAAATCAATAAATCAATAGGAAGTTTATCGGAGATGAACATAATTAGACTAATTAGTAATTTGAATAGTTTACGGATCTCAAAATTAATATTCACGTGGATTTTAAAATTCAAACTTATATTTATCATCATATTTTGAAAATTGAATTTATGATATATTGTAGGCAAGATAGTTTTAAACTAATTAATATTTTAATTATTATCTTAAATATTTTAGATATCATTTAGTTTTATCACCCAAATTAATTTTAGATTGAAAATTAATTCTATCACCTAAATTAGTCCGTTTAAGCCTTTTACTTTATAGTTTATATAGATAGCATTTTTAAAAGAAAATGGATTCATTTGTCTTCATCACCCAAATTAATTTTCAAAATAATCATTTAGTTTTATTTTTTTTTTTCGAAATAAACATCCCAGAATGGGATGGGGGGTTGAGGCTACACCCCCAACCTGTGAATATAATGGCCCAGCTAGGGCTAAAGAGTCAATAGTCTACATCTAAGTCCGAGATACATAAAGCAACACCAAAAGAGAGAAAAGAAAATAAAATAAAGAATAAAATACATAAAAGGCCGTCTTGGTCAGGGTGACCTGACAAGGAGTCCACAAAGCCAAAACTAGTCAGGGGCAGGTGGTGGCGGACGACCGAATCTGAAGGATGGGTACTCTAACTGGTCCATCCAATGAGCGTCCGAAGCCGGAGGGGAATGTCCTCAGGAAGGAGGGTGCGTCTCTGGGGTATAGAAGCCCCCGTGCTAGCAAGAAAATCAGCAGGCCGATTCCCCTCCCAGAAAATGTGTGAGACAC